AGATCGTTTGTGTGATAAAAGGGGACAGAGCCCACTTTGTATTGCTTTTCTTTGACTTTTTGGCGCGCGGGAGCAGAAGGAAGACGGACATTCTCATCAGATTTCTTGGAGTGACCCACGCTCGTCGTCGTCGATATCTTCTCAACTTTTTGATCGCCAAAACAATGCCCACGAGGCTCAACACTCCCAAAATCACTCGAATCATCGTGCCACCGATTCGCACGACACATTTACCTAATATAAGAATTAGCGGTAATAATGAGCCCTTTGACAATGCTAAAATGATTGATTCAATTATGTTTTTTTGATTTTTGAACATTCTGTTATGAAGAAAATCACTTGTTATTTTTTAACAAGTGATTTTCGCTTAGCGCTCGTTCCAAAAGTCGTTCAGAGAATGTTTTTGTGTAAAGGTTGAAATGAAAGGGATTTATTGAAGCACAAAAAGAGCACGAAAAGATTTCCACGAAAGAAAAAGCACAAATATTTCCTCTAGCGCATTAGACTATCCAAAAAACTGGCCAAACATGAACCTGGACTGGCCAAACATGAACCTGGACTGGCCAAACATGAACCTGGACTGGCCAAACATGAACCTGGACTGGCCAAACATGAACCTGGACTGGCCAAACATGAACCTGGACTGGCCAAACATGAACCTGGACGGCCAAACATGAACCTGGACTGGCCAAACATGAACCTGGACTGGCCAAACATGAACCTGGACTGGCGAAACATGAACCTGGACTGGCCAAACATGAACCTGGACTGGCCAAACATGAACCTGGACTGGCCAAACATGAACCTGAACCAAGCCTGGGCCCAATCTAAATTTTGGACTCCTTAAGAAGTCGCCACGACATTTTAACAAATTCGCGAGGAAGCCATTAGACGAAGCCATTAGACGAAGCCATTAGACGAAGCCATTAGACGAAGCCATTAGACGAAGCCATTAGACGAAGCCATTAGACGAAGCCATTAGATGAAGCCATTAGACGAAGCCATTCGAACGACAGAGTTCTATGCTAGTTGTAGATCTGAAAATTTTTACCCACAAGCTTTTTTGGGGGTCGTCAATTCGAATTCGGTTTTAGTTTTCAATTACAGGGGCCTGAAATCGTAGTAGCGCGTACCTTAGCTGGAAAATCAGTTAGAAAAGGCTGAAAAAGGTGCACCCGGGGGGTTTTCTGCGGTGGAAAACCCCGAATGCAATCGAAATACTTACACGAAATCCCCTACGTGAACACTAGAAAATCACTTGTTATGCTCGTTCCAAAAGTCGTTCAGAGAATGTTTTTGTGTGTAAGTTGAAATGAAAGGGATTTATTGAACCACGAAAAGAGCACGAAAAGATTTCCACAAAAGAAAAAGCACAAATATTTCCTCTAGCGCATTAGACTATCCAAAAAAAAGAAAAAAAATACACGTCTATACGTAAAGTGCTCACAAAATATGTACAAAATGAATAAAATATTCACAAATTTTCTGGGATCACCCCATTCGGAAGAATCTTTTTAAAGAAGAAATGGGAAAAAGTCGAAAAGTCGAAAAGAAATATTTGGGTAACTTGGGTAAACGTTTTTTTTTAAAACCGAAATGAGGTAGGTGACTAGTTTCGTTCGTTTTACGTAGTAAAGATTGAAAAGCGGTCAGTTTTCGACTATTATTTTGCTTTGATACAGAATTATGAGACATAAAAACGGTATGAAACAATTAAAAATGAAATTTCTCTATAGGAATCAGTTTTTTTCTTACTTTAAAGTAATAGGTTACAGGAATCGTAATACGAAAAACAGTGGCCACAGTAAGCAGTGAGCTTGGCCACATTTCAATGGCCACAGTAAGCTAAGCTAGGATAAAGCTAGGTCAGAAGCCAAGTCCAGCTTCAGATTTGCCAGATTGGTCCGGTTCAACGAGGTCAGCCCAAGTTCAGCTAGTTCCAAATTATGACCTGACTTTCCCAAGGTCTTTGTTTTGATAAACACGTGGATTTTCTAGTAAAGCCAAGTCAAGCGAGGTCAAGCCAGTGCCAAGCTTAATGCCAGATTTGCTTCAGGGTTGACCAGGCTTGGCTTGGTTCAGATTCATGTTTGGTCAGCCACTGGTTCAGGTTTGGGCCAGCCACTGGTTCAGGTTTGGCCAGCCACTGGTTCAGGTTTGGCCAGCCACTGGTTCAGGTTTGGCCAGCCACTGGTTCAGGTTTGGGTCAGCCACTGGTTCAGGTTTGGCCAGCCACTGGTTCAGGTTTGGTCAGCTACTGGTTCAGGTTTGGCCAGCCACTGGTTCAGGTTTGGCCAGCCACTGGTTCAGGTTTGGTCAGCTACTGGTTCAAGTTTGGCCAGTCCAAAGGCCTAGGGTCAGGTTTTGCTGTTTGATTTCAATGAGCCAGCTTTATGGACCAGCCTTAGAGTAAAAGCAGGCTAGAAACCTTTAGCTTAGTCCTCTGACCTCTTGATCTAGCCTAACTTAGCTTAGCCTCTAGCTTGCACGGAAAAATAGCCCTTGGAACGTTCCTGACTAAGTAAGTAACTATAGACAAAGTAGCTATAGACAAAGTAACTTTAGACAAAGTAACTATAGACAAAGTCGCTATAGACAAAGTAACTATAGTTCAAAGAACCTAAATAACAAAATAGATTCGAAACCTGGTTTGTTCCAAAAAATAGCATGAGTTAGCGCAAAATAGAAAACGAGTTTGTTGCTTTGTTTCTTTTAAAAATTGGAAAGTTTCCTATAATGCACTAAATTTTTGCTAACAAGGGACCGGTTGGAGCTTGCAATTGTTGGAGAATTGTTGGAGAATTGTTGGAGATTGGTTGAAGGATTGGAACCTCCAACAATCCTCCAACAATTGTTGGAGGTTCCAATCCTCCAACAATTCTCCAATGTCCAATCCTCCAACAATTGTTGGAGGATTGGACAGGTTGGAGAATCTCGATATGCGATATCGCACATCTTGTAGAGCTTGGAAAGACGAGTTGAATGATGTAAAAATTAGCTGCTTATAACCATTGTAAACACATTAAAACTGGCACACAAGCTTTCACTAGGTCTACAAAAAGCTTTTACTAGATCTTTTTATTAAAAGCTTTTATTTAAAACTTGTTTTATCATCTATTTTATACCTAAAGATCAAAAATTAATAGTAAATTTAAATTTTTGGAATTTTATGTAATTTTGTAATTTAATTATCATAAAATGAAACAAGTTTTCAATAAAAACAACAAGAACAAGAAGAAAAAGATGATAAAACATAAAACAAAAGGTGTAAGCCAGCTTTAGAGTGTTTACAATGGTTAAAAGACTAATTTTTGCATCATTCGACTCGTCTTTGCAAGCTCTACAAGGTGTGCTATGCCGCATAAACATATCTAGATTTCATCGCGAGCTTCAGAGCTTCAGAGCTTCAGAGCTTCAGAGCTTCAGAGCTTCAGAGCTTCAGAGCTTCAGAGCTATCAGAGCTTCAGAGCTATCAGAGCTTCAGAGCTATCAGAGCTTCAGAGCTTCAGAGCTATCAGAGCTTCAGAGCTATCAGAGCTTCAGAGCTATCAGAGCTTCAGAGCTTCAGAGCTATCAGAGCTTCAGAGCTATCAGAGCTTCAGAGCTATCAGAGCTTCAGAGCTTCAGAGCTTCAGAGCTATCAGAGCTATCAGAGCTTCAGAGCTTCAGAGCTTCAGAGCTTCAGAGCTTCAGAGCTTCAGAGCTTCAGAGCTTCAGAGCTTCAGAGCTTCAGACTTCAGAGCTTCAGAGCTATCAGAGCTTCAGAGCTTCAGAGCTTCAGAACTTCAGAGCTTCAACTGATTCCTTGCAAGCTCCAACGTCTACAAAATAGTTGACGCAAAAAGAAAATGCATTCGAAAGCAACTCGGAAAGCTCAACTCGATTTGGGTGAAAAAAGGGGTTTTTTGCCTAATTGTACTTAAAACATTTGACGTAACACAACAAAAAAAATGGTAATTGATTTGAAATGAACTCGTTGTCGTTGAAATGAACTTTGAAACTCGTTGCCCTATGGGGAAAACACAAGGAATAAGTGAGGAGGCAAATAATGGAAAATTTGGGTTCAAAGGTGTACTTTGCGGCTTGCTCAAGACGCTGGAAACACACAATTTCTGGAGTACTATTCTGGCGTAATTTCTCATTTTTCTTCTGGTAGGTTTTCTTACAAAAAGAAGACCCTGAGTGCTAGAAGGAATGCGTTTACGAGAGCTCGAAGAACAAGAGAGAACAAGAGCCGTACTTTGTGCTCACTTTGCCAATCTGTACTTTGTGCTCACAAACGCATCCTTTCTGGTGCACTGATTTATTGATCTTTCTCATGTGATTCCTGATGTTGTTGTGCCAGAAAGGCCGCGTTTACGATAGCTCAAAGCCAGCGACAAGAGCCGACGTGTACTTTGTAATGTGTCGTCGTCAACGTCTTTGTCGTCGATGTTGTCACATGTAAACGCATCCTTTCTAGCGCACTGATATATTCACCTTTCTTTTGCATTGCCTAGCCAGAAAGAGAGCCAGAAAGAGAGCGTTTACGGTAGCTCAAAGTTCGCGACAAGAGTCAGCAAGAGTCAGTGTTGACTTTGCAATGCAAACAAATCTCTTCTAGCGCAACGACTTCTTCACTTTCTCTCACCAAAGTAATGCCTGAAAAGCCAGCTATTTTGCCAGTCAGCCAGCCAAAAACGAAGCTTCCGGTACGCTAGAAAAGGTGTGTTTACAATTTTCGAGCACATAAAGCACAATTTTCGAGTACACTCACTAGACACTTGATAAGAATTAGTGAAAAGAAAAAAATAAAACCGTGAAACTAGCGATTTGTGATTTGTGATTTAAAAATCTGTACATCGAGGCCATTTCACAACAAATAGATTTCCTATAACAAGTATTTTGAGATAAGAAAAGAGAGAACATAAACTCTTCCCTAAGAAATGACACTTTCCGAATTTCACCATAGGAATTTTGTACAAAACAAAACGAAGCAAAAGCTCAAAAGCAAAGGCTTAACCGCTTGCAATCGCCGCAAATGGATCGTCGAGTGGGCTCGGTGGGATGATGCGCACCTGGAAACGTTTTTTAATATAAAAATCTTAAACAACTTAAACCTAAACATGTCTTCAGCCACTTTAAGCTTATCCTTTTGATAACTGAATAGCCGTAGTTTTGAAAATTTGAGTTTACTGTAGCTAGGGCACAAAAAAGAGGGCGCTTTAAACCATAAAATGTCTCAAACGCTAAAATACTCTAGGATACTCTAAGCGTTAAACAGTAAACTTAGAAATAATATACAATACTGTACTTAGGGATATTGTAGCTCTACCATTATCAAGAATTATTTGATATTATTGTACAGGGTGCGGCAGAATTATAGGTCCAGTGTGTAGTGATAAAAAAGTGACCAAATTATAGATTTTAAAGCTAAAATTGTTATTTTCTGTATGAATTTGTTTTAATTTTCGGTCACGTCACGGTCACGGTCAAAGGTCAAAGGTCGAAGGTCGAAGGCCGAAGCCCAAAGGCGAACCCGAAGCCTCTGTAGGCCTGTATCGGTGCAAACGGTAGACAATTCGACTATGATCAGAAAAAAATCATTTCTTTGAATCTAATAAATTGTTTACACCTGCTTTTGTAGTATTTTCGTTTTTTGGCCTTTTTAGAATGATTTTATCTGCACCTATAGTTCTGCCGGATCCTTTAAAAAGATCTCTATATTCTTTACCATCTGTATCATCCACTCTATCCAGATCCAAGTCTGGCTCAGGTACTTTTTCCAGGTCAGGCCTGAGCCTGGTTATCAGCCTTGCTTGTCCTAGGTTGGCTTTGTCGCATCTGATCTACTATATATAAAAGAGCGGTGTCTGTGCAGCGAGAAAAACCAGCCTAATGGCGGGTTTTTCTGGCTGGTTTAAGCCGAATTGTTTGCTCTTTCAAGGAATTGTTCTTCCAAAGAATTGTTCTTTCAAGGAATTGTTCTTCCAAAGAATTGTTCGGATTTTTCGGTTTCTATATCCACTTTTCCTCACTAACCTCATCATTGCCACGAGCCAAATGATATTGTCGAGATCCACAAGAAGAACAAGTGAAACACTCGTTCACCAATGCATAGTGACCCTAAAGCTTTTGGATGTGAGATTTTTGTGAAATGAATGAATGAATCAATGAATCAATGAATCAATGAATCAATCAATCAATCAATCCAATCAATCGATGAGATCGTGATCAGTGATCAATTCGATCGATCGATCGATCAATCGATCGATCGATCGATCGATCGATCGATCGATCGATCGATCAGTCGATCGATCAGTCGATCCAGTCGATCGATCGATCGATGATCGATCGATCGATCGATCCAGTCGATCGATCAGTCGATCGATCGATCGATCGATCGATCGGATCGATCGATCGATCGATCGATGGATGAGGATCGATCGAGTCGGTCGATCGATCGATCGGTCGATCGATCATGGATCGATCGATCGATCAATCGGTCGATCAATCGAATCAATCAATCGTCAATCGATCAATCAATCAGTCAATCAAAAGCATTGCCCGAGTGTAATTGTTGCATGACGTTTTCCGGTACAAGTAAAGGCGCATGGCAGAGTGAGCAAATTGGTGGACAACATCTAGACATCTTTGTGTGTGTTAAACTTTAAAATTTACACACCTGCCCGCACTGATTACATCGTAGAAATAGAGAGTGCCGAGGATTAGTGATTTTCCCGCAAACCAATCATCTGAAAAGTCGATTTAAGGGTGAATTTGTATGTAAAAAAACAGTAAAACTTTGTACTTTACTTTGTACTTTACTTTAAACTTTACTTTGTACTTTGTTTCACTGCGTACACTAGAATGTAAGATTCAGGTTCTTCAGGATGAATTCTATGAAATTCAGAGCTGAAGTTTAACTTGAAGTCTTTCTTTTATCAGTAGAACCTTTTTACCTGATTGTAATTGAGATAAGAGACTGATTTTGAGAATTTTCAACGCTGAATATCATAGATTTGCCTTGTAATTGAAAGTTTTTATATCTTACAACAAAAAAAATGATTACCTAACCTTTTCCACACGTCGCGCATTCCCATTCCGAGAAAAGACACCGAGCACAGAGCTGTTGAATGTAGAATTGGCGTTGATCGTAGATCACCTGCAATTAGAATTGACAATATTCACAGATCGACATTGACAGAACTTATTGGCTTGCACTTTTTTGCCTAACTGTAAACACACCATTTCTAGTGCACACAATTTGTGCACTTTTGGATTTCTCACCTCAATCGCCGGCCCATAACGCACAACTGGTGACAAAAAGAAAACACCGTCGATCAATGGATATCGATCATAGACCTAGAAATGAGAATTGAAAGCTTTTCCAGAACTTTTTTTACAGTAATCTGACAATTATGGTAGATCGGATTAAGTTTACGGTAGACTTAGACCTAGGCATTGGCTTAGGCTTAGGCTTAGGTTTTGGCTTTGGCTTAGGCTTAGGCTTAGGCTTAGGCTTTGGCTTAGGCTTTGGCTTAGGCTTTGGCTTGGGCTTAGGCTTAGGCTTAGGCTTAGGCTCAGGCTTAGGCTTAGGCTTAGGCTTAGGCTTAGGCTTAGGCTTTGGCTTAGGCTTAGGCTTTGGCTTAGGCTTTGGCTTAGGCTTGGGCTTAGGCCATGCTACAACTACCGTAACACGGTCAAGAGCTTCATTACGATTACGGTAAATGCATGCTGCAACTACCGTAACCCGGTCTAGAGCTTCATTACAATGACAGTAGAAGCGTGTTACAACGACCGTAACCCGGTCAAGAGCTTCGTTAAGATTACGGTAGAAGCATGCTGTAACTACTGTAACCTGGTCTAGAGCTTCATTGCGATTACGGTAGAAGCTAATCGAGTTACTTTAAACTTTCCTCCAACTACCCGCAACCCAAGTACAGGGTGTTCAAGAATTAAGGACACTTTTCTCTAGTGAGCAGCTCAGCCTAGAGTTAACCATTCCCCATAAAACTTTTTTTGGTAGAATTTACTGCTTATTTACAACACTTCACTTTGATACTTTACTCAGAAACTCAAAATTAGCAATTCTATAGAACTTTGAATCTCCAAAACTCGAGAGCCTTTGGGACGCGGCTCCTTTGTGACCAGATTTTGAACTTAAAAAATTACTTTAATAATGGCTACCCGATCATGGATGAAACACTTGTGAATACTTAAATTAGAAATTAGAAAGCCTAAGTCGTTTACTTCCGTTTAAAGCCGTTTAAATAGTAATTCTTTAAGTTGAAAAGGTCACCAGGAGCCGTGTCCCAGAGGCTCTCGAATTTTAAAGATTTATGAACTACGGTAGATACTCGAGTTACTGTAAACAAGTGACGCTTTAAAGCATGCTCCAGCTACCTCCAGCTTCAGCTAACCCCAAGCTCTTACGGCTACGGTAACCCTACTTGGGTTCCTGTAACATCTACTAACTGGATTACGGGTTACGGTAACTTTAGAGCGCTTCAGAGAGCTTTAGAGCGCTTCAGGGAGCTTTAGAGCGCTTCAGAAAGCTTCAGAGCGCTTTAGAGCGCTTTAGAGCGCTTCAGAGCGCTTCAGAAAGCTTCAGAGCGCTTCAGAGAGCTTTAGAGCGTCTACTTTAGTCAGAGTTTAGCAAGGGTTTATAAATAAGGTTTAAGAAAATTGTTTAGAAAGATTTTCTAGCATAATCTAATGTTGATTTCTAACCGTTATCGGCTTTGTGCATCCCACGCATTTCACTTCTCGCAAATTGTGCGCTCCCAGTGTTTTCAGTAGACACAAACGGACATCATCACCACCTTGTGGGCAATCGTCTTCCATCTAGAAAAGTCGAAAAGTTGAAAAGAAAGGCTGAGCATCAAAATCGATTTTCAATCTGTTTCCAAACATAAGAAGGATTTACCGTATTTACTCTATTAGTGGGGTCCTCTCTAATAGTGGGGTCCTCTCTAATAGTGGGGTCGTCTGGAGGGGGGTTGAAAAAATAGTGGGGTCCTCTCTAATATTGGTAACGAAAGTGATACATCAATTGTTGATCTCTTGGATTAGTTCTTTTACTGTTTGTTAATGTTTTGTTACGGTTAAAGCTAAATAAAATATGAAGCCAAACTTGTTTTTTCAAGAATTTCGGAGAAAAATTGATATCTTTTCAACTTAAAACTTTGGTTTTATGTTCTTTTAAATTTCTCTAATAGTGGGGTCCTCTCTAATAGTGGGGTCGTCTGGAAGGGGATTGAAAAAATAGTGGGGGACCCCACTAATAGAGTAAATACGGTAGTATAAATCATTGTTCGTTTTTTTAAATCATAAACAAAATATACAAAAAAAATTCTTACTTTTATGTGAATCCCATTGAATTTGTGTAGTGGAATGATGCTAAGGAGATTGTTGAAATTTTCGCGTCTTGCGAATACCGATCCATTTAGACGAACCTGGAGATGGAAATGGGTTGAAATGAGAGATTTCAATCGCTCTAATCTCAGCTAATTTTGAGTACCAGGCAGCCAGCTAGAATCTAGCTTGACCTAACCTAAAAACATGGCTTTAAAGAATACATTTATTCATTTAGATAGGGAAAAAAAACCAATAATCTAGCCGGCAGGATTGAGCCTTCCGACTAAGATACAGTGCTCTTACAAGGGAACTTATAACACCTTATAACACCTTATAACACCTTATAACCTTATACGCTGAACACTGGCCTAAGTCTAAGCGTAAGCCTAACAAGGGAACCTTCCCAAGTTACCCACTAGTTACAATATGAGGTAGGTACCAAAAGAAAGGCCAGAAAATGTACGTTCAGAAACTGTTTTCAAAAACCGCTAATCGGCAAAGAGCACAAAGTTATTGCCATTTGAATTTCGAAAAAATGAAAGCTTTTCTCGAATTTCTGACACACTGATTTTTGCCGGGGAAAAGGCTTTCCTTTCGCCATCCCAAAAGCCAGCTCGTAGCCTAGTAGTGTACCTGAGCTCGGAGCTCTTTGATCTTGATTCGGATTCACCAGCAGTCAAGCTTTTTAGCCAGTCGACCAGTTAGCCAGTCGACCAGTTAGCCAGTCGACCAGTTAGCCAGTCGACCAGTTAGCCAGTCGACCAGTTAGCCAGTCGACCAGTTAGCCAGTCGACCAGTTAGCCAGTCGACCAGTTAGCCAGTCGACCAGTTAGCCAGTCGACCAGTTAGCCAGTCGACCAGTTAGCCAGTCGACCAGTTAGCCAGTCGACCAGTTAGCCAGTCGACCAGTTAGCCAGTCGACCAGTTAGCCAGTCGACCAGTTAGCCAGTCGACCAGTTAGCCAGTCGACCAGTTAGCCAGTCGACCAGTTAGCCAGTCGACCAGTTAGCCAGTCGACCAGTTAGCCAGTCGACCAGTTAGCCAGTCGACCAGTTAGCCAGTCGACCAGTTAGCCAGTCGACCAGTTAGCCAGTCGACCAGTTAGCCAGTCGACCAGTTAGCCAGTCGACCAGTTAGCCAGTCGACCAGTTAGCCAGTCGACCAGTTAGCCAGTCGACCAGTTAGCCAGTCGACCAGTTAGCCAGTCGACCAGTTAGCCAGTCGACCAGTTAGCCAGTCGACCAGTTTATTTTCTTTATTTATTTGCTAATTCTTTTCACTCACCGTTTCATCCTCAAAATACCAATGATTTTCGACGTTTTTCTTCAAGATTTCCGGATTCACGCAACACCTGAAAATTCAAGAATCAGTTTTTCCATCCAGATTCGATCCAGTAAAGTGATAATATTATCAAATCAATGTTTTAAATCTTATTGTACAGGTAGATATAATGTTGCGCTCTACAAAACGATCATTTTCTCAAATCCAAAAGAGTTAACGGCTTTTCGCATTTAGATATTTAAAAACTATGGATATTTTTTCACTAGATTTATGAGCTTTTGTAAAAATTGAAAACTTTCTTCGTTTCATGAGACTTTAAACGTGATTACTGCTCTTCAAAAAATAAAATTTGTCAAAAATAAGCCCCATTTTTGTCAGCCAAGATAATCTCGCATTTGCAATGATGCTCAAAAAGCTCAAAAAGCACTCATTTTAATTTTAATTAACTCTAAAAACGATTTAATACTGAAAAAGACCGAAAAAGATGATTTTTTAGGATTAGGAGACATTTGATACGTGCCCCGCCCCTTTTGCCATTGGCAATCTAACTTTGAGCTCAAATTTCTTGGCTTTGGGTTGTCCAATTGAAATAGTTTTTATACCAATCGATAGAGAAAGACTTGGCAAATCTAATGATACCAAGGATATTGAAATTGGACAGCTCAACACCAAGATACTTGAGCTCAAAGTTGAGCCAATGGCAAAAGGGATAGGGCGCGTATCAAAGTCCTTCTCTGTAGATTGATACAGAAACTATTTTTCAAACTTTCAAATTCGACAAGATGTTTGAGTTTAAAGTTGGATTTTCAATGGCAAAAGGGATGGCGGCGCGTTTATCCCACCTTTTATACGTGCTCCGCCCCTTCGCCATTGGCTCAACTTTGAACTCAAATATCTTGGTGCTGAGCTGTTCAATTGAAATACTTTTTGTACCAATCGACAGAGAAAGACTTGGCGCATCGAATGATATTAAGAATATTGAAATCGGACAGCTCAACACCAAGATATTTGAGCTCAAAGTTGAGCCAATGGCAAAAGGGACAGGGCGCGTATCAAATGTCTGATAACCAGTAAATAACTTTGTTGAAAACGACTAAACGCACCCTCTCTAGCACACTCGATGCTTCGGTTTTTATAGGCAAAACGAGAAAATTGAAGATTTTATGAGCCAAAAATGGTGCTTTTATCAGAGCACAAAGAACCCCAGTAAGTCTAAAGTAAAAGTCTGGATCCGAAAAGTGTTAAAGCAATTTTTTCATAGAAAATCATTCCCAAAAATCTCAAGAATTCTAGAATTTTTCCAGAAGAGAATCATTTGTCATTTCTACAAGTTAAAAAAAAGATTCCAGCAAAACAAGAAGATATTCAGGATAAAAAAGAAAGTCCCGAGTAAACAAGGGACTCAAATTTTTGTTTTTCATTTCTTTTTCATTTCAAATCCCCAATTGATCCCTGGGTATTATAAAATGCGAAAAAAAAAATGGAAATGAAATGCGGTGTTTACGAGGGAAAAGCCTTAAAAGAACTCTTTTTTCCCTTTTCCATTTGCAGTCAATTTGGAGCGGGGTAAAAGGGACAAAACATCAGCTGAGAGATGGGAAAAGACGGGGCAAAAAAAAAGATGTTGACCATTTTCTTCGTTCGTTCGTTCGTTCTATTTTTAGCCACTTTGCCATTGCAAAACATAGAAATAGACGATTTGAGAAGATTTTCTTTTAAAGCAGAAGAAAATAGATTAAGAACGCAAGAAAATGAGTTGTGCTCAAAAAAATTGTGCTTATCTTAAGCTCAATTTTTGTAAATGCCTTTCTAATGCACTCGATTCGTTTTTCTTTTTGAATTCTGAGAAAAATGAGGAGCTGAGTGTGATAGAAAAGGTGCGTTTAGACGTATTTCAATCATAAAGTACACTAAATTGGTTTTTGCGTACTTTGAGCTCCACTCCTTATAAAAGCACCCTTTAAAGGTACACTCAAACCTTGAAGGGACACTCAGAACTTAAATGGACACTCAAATCTTAAAGATACACTCCAACCTTGAAGGTACACTCAAATCTTAAAGGGACACTCAAACCTTGAAGGTACACTCCAACCTTGAAGGTACACTCCAACCTTGAAGGTACACTCCAACCTTGAAGGTACACTCAAATCTTAAAGGGACACTCAAACCTTGAAGGTACACTCCAACCTTGAAGGTACACTCCAACCTTGAAGGTACACTCAAATCTTAAAGGTACACTCAAACCTTAAAGGGACACTCAAACCTTATCAAATCTTAAAGGTACATTCAAAACTTTCCATTCTCTTACAGGATCCCTTGTAAGAAAATAAAGCCTTAAGTGCACCAGAAAGGATGCATTTGGCTTACAGAATCAGAATAAGAATTGAATAAGAATAAGAATTAAATTCTCACCTCAATTCAAATTGTGGTTGCGCCTCGCGTTTTCCCCATTTTTTCGTGCTGGCCGTCGAGCCGCTTCGACGCCGAAATTCTTCACATGAATCTGAAAAATGCTTTCATTTTCTCATCAATTTTCTTTTTAACACTTTAGAATTTACATATTTGGGTGCTTGACGGTTAACGGGGTCAGTTAACGCTGACGTTAATCGTTAACGGGGAGTCAGCGATTAACGGAGAAGGCCAAGTTTTTGTCCATTTTGCAACCCGATTTTAAACAGGTTTTTGTTCATAACTTTTGATGAGACAATTATTTTCTAAAAGTTGACATTCTAAGCTATTTAAATCTTATTAAAACTTTCTGATCTGACGAGTTTAAGGTGCTTAAAGATGAGCTGTAAGTTGGGTAAAAGTTGGCTAAAAGCTCGCTTCCTCCCCTCCAGTTAACCGTCAAGCACCTATATTTGCATTTGAAATTTAAATATTTGCCTGTTTCCAAATGAAAACACGTTTTGTTTAAGACTTCAGAAAATATTTTCAAGATTTTTAAAGATTAAGATTCTTAAAAATTTTTAAGAGCAAGAGGATTTCAAAGCACCGTAATTTTCTAGTAGAATACACCTGACGAAAAATCGATTTCTCTGATCTCTTTTTCATGTAAATTGGTTAATTTGGTTCCAGGATTGAAAAATAAAATTGGCAAATTGGCGTTGGCAGTAAAATAAGAAATGTGATTTTTGAAAAGATTCAAAATATGTCTCTGGGGCGGGAGGGGTTTCGTCCGGTGGACCACAATTTCGTCCACTGGTGGACCGAACCGTCCCAGGGGCCAGACAGCCTTCATCCACTGGTGGACCGAATCGTCTCAGGGATCAGACGGCCTTCATCCACCGGTGGACCGAATCGTCTCAGGGATCAGACGGCCTTCATCCACCGGTGAACCGAACCGTCCCAGGGACCAGACGGCCTTCATCCACCGGTGGACCGAATCGTCCTGAACATGTTAAGAAAACGTTCTTAGAAACATTTTTCTTCACTTTTACACATTTTTTCTATGTTTTGAATCATTGAATTTGAATCATTTTGAATCAAGAACTATTGCTTGAGATAGTTTTTAAGAATTTTAAAATCTGGCGGACCTTTTTATCTATTTTTTTTAAGGCGGTCGATATTGGGTTTGAAGAATCGAAGATCATGATCTTTTATTAGAATAATTATGCTAATTTTATTATAAACACTTGAGTAAAAAGTGTGATTATAGAATAGAATTCAATTCGATTATTAAATGCAATTCATTTCTGATTCCGAACGTTTTCCAAAGCATCAACAAAACCAAAAAGGATTACGGTGTTATGAGAGAAATGTGAAAAGAGAAAAAGAAAAAAGAAAAAAGAAAAAGAAAAAAAAGTGCAAAACTCGAAAACATTCGGATCAATTTGGGGAAAATTGTGATGAAATTGATGAAACTTTTCAAATCTTGATCTTGAATCTTGAATAGAACGATTGTCGGTGAAGTTTTGCTTTGTTTTATAAAAGGAATTTGTTGTTGTTGTTGTTAAACTGTTCTTTATGCTTAAAAGTGTAAACCCAAGCTTTCTGAGGCGCTGAAAAGCGCTTGAAAGCTTCTTCTTCTCATGAAAGCTTTCATTGGTACGAGAAAAATGGCCTTAATGCAATAGAATGGTCGGTTACGGTTCCAATATGGCAATACGGTTCCAATATGGTTCCAATACGGTTCCAATACGGTCCCTATTTTGATCTAATACGGTTCCAATACGGTTCCTATTTTGATCTACTACAGAAATGACTTTAATGCAATAGAATGGTCGTTTTTCACCGTTTTTAGCCGTTTTTAGCCGTTTTTCACCGTTTTTAGCCGTTTTTCACCGTTTTTAGCCGTTTCTTGCCGTTTTTCGCCGTTTCTCGCCATTTTTTAAGCTCAAAATCGGCTCAAACTCGGCTGAAAACGTCGTTTTCGCCGTTTTTGAGCTTAGTCGAATTTGAGCGACTTTCAAACGCAAGTTCAAATCCAAATTTCAAACCCACTCACCTAAACTCTTTTTTCGATACGTGGCTACCTCGATCATAACGTGAAAATGAAGAAAAAAATTGGGAATTATCTCATTCAATGAAGAATTGAGAAGAATTGAGAAAAATATTCGGTTTGACTTGTTGTGGTAGAAGAATGAAGGAATGGGAAAATGGGGGAAAAGGAAAAAAAGGGGAAAAGGGGCAACGTTGTTTTCGTTTTTAAAAAAAACCGATAGAGTAGAGGTGGAAAAGAGAGGAAGGGGCGAAATGGGAATGGGGAAGAGAGAAAAGAGAGAAAAAAGGGGAAATGATCACTGAAAAGTCTCAACAACACCCGGCTGATCACCCCTACAAAGCCGAGCAATGAAGTTTTTCGTTTGTGGAAGAGATTGCTCGTTGATGGAACATTTTGGTGGAACATTTTGATCGAACACATCACATTTGATAGATGTCAGTGAAAAGTCTAGACATTTGCTGAGCTTTTTTGGCCGATGCTTGAAATTGGAGTTGAGCTTTTTGGGCTTTTTAAAGGACTCGAACTTTCGAAAAGTGTCATAGCTACATCCAAATCAACCATCACCTAGCTCAGTTGAATCTAAATCTATTCGAATTTCGCCGTAATCGACTCCAAATCAACCGTAATCCATCGTAATCCAATCTAAATCAACTGTAATCTACCGTAATCTAATCCAAAACAACCGTAATCCATCGTAATCCACTCCAAATTGATTGAAAGTTACCGTAATCTAATCCAAATCAACCGTAATCCATCGTAACCCAATCTAAATCAACCGTAATCTACCGTAATCCAACCTAAATTAAGGTAATCCAATCCAAATTGATTGAAAGTTACCGTAATCAACTCTAAAACAGCCGTAATCCACTGTAATCTAATCTAAATTCATTGAAAGTTCCCGTAATCCACCCCAACCCAACTCGACTCCAAATCAACCTTAATTCAGCGTAATCCACTCCAAATTGATTGAAAGTTACCGTAATCCACTCCAAATCAACCGTAATCCATCGTAATCCAATCTAAATCAACTGTAATCTACCGTAATCCAATCCAAATCAACCGTAATCCATCGTAATACAATCCAAATCAACTGTAATCCACCGTAATCCACTCCAAACCAACCATAACCTACCGTAATCCACTCCAAAACAGCCGTAACCTACCGTAATCCAATCTAAATCAACCGTAATCTACCGTAATCGACTCAAAATTGATTGAAAGTTACCGTAATCCACTCCAAATTAACCGTAATCCATCGTAATCCAATCCAAATCAACCGTAACCTACCGTAATCCAATCTAAATTAACTGTAATCTACCGTAATCCACCGTAATCGACTCCAAACCAACCGTAACCTACCGTAATCCACTCTAAATTAACCGTAATCCCCGTAATCAACTCCAAATCAGCCGTAACCTACCGTAATCCAATCTAAATCAACCGTAATCTACCGTAATCGACTCAAAATCAACGGTAATCCCCCGTAATCCAATCCAAATTGATTGAAAGTTACCGTAATCAACTCTAAAACAGCCGTAATCCACCGTAATCTAATCTAAATTCATTGAAAGTTCTCGTAATCCACTCCAATCCACGTAATCCACCTCTACACTAAGGCACCGTAATCTACCGTAACCCCAATACGTAATCCCAATAGTTTGAGTTTTGCTCTACAAAATGACACGAAAGTCATCAAAATCGGCTCACTAGTTTTGGAGATACAGGCACGCAAAGTGAGGCGAGTTTGGTTCGGATTCGAACGTCACATAGATAGTAGATATACACTGTAGTCGATCGTAATCTATCGGAATTAAGCAATGTCTTAATCTACAGTAATCTACCGTAATCTACAGTAATCTTCTTTGTTATATCTTTTGATATTCTTTATCAAATCCTCACAAAGCTGACCAACTTACAGGGTGACCAAGAATTACCGCAACAACGTCGTATTATGTTATGAGCCTCGTTTCACTTTTTGCTTACCTGTTTTTATGGTTTTTGTCTATTTTTCTTATTTTATGGTATGATTACTAACTTTCAATACTTTCAATTAGTATGGTTGTTTTCAGGAATGGTGAAAGCGTCTCCACATCGACAATCGATTCTTGAGCTCAAGCGGCAGCGTGTTCAGGCGAGCGAGATCTCAGAGAGAACGAGATCTTTGCCTGGATGTCCCCAGAAGCCTCGTTTCTCGAACCATTCAACGTTATGAAACTCTGGGCACAGTTTCTGATCTTCTGATCTTCTGATCGCCCTGGAAGAGGTGCAAAACGAACAGCGTTTACTCCGGCTAATGTCAAGAAAGTGCGCGATCGTCTAAGATTAAACCCTAACCAATCGGCTCGAGGAATGGCACAGAAAATGAGGCTGAAGAGAAGCCCCGTCAACACAATCCAATTTATATTGAAGAAAAATTCAAGGCAAGATTACAGCTCTTTTTACTTAAACACATCCATTCTGGTGTGCTCAAATGTTTCAGCTTTAAATCACTTCCATCAGCTTAGAGTTTTGTTTGTTTGTTTGCTTGTTTGTTTGCTTGCTTGTTTCTTTGTTTCTTTGTTTCTTTGTTTGCTTGTTTGTTTGTTTGTTTGCTTGTTTGTTTGTTTGTTTTCTTGTTTGTTTGTTTGTTTGTTTGTTTCTTCGTTTCTTTGTTTCTTCGTTTCTTTGTTTCTTCGTTTCTTTGTTTCTTCGTTTCTTTGTTTCTTTGTTTCTTTGTTTCTTTGTTTGAATTTGTTTAAATTCGTTAAAAAACAAAAACCCTATCAATCACGATAATATTTTGGTTAATTGTTGTGCCCTTTTGTTTACAGATCCCCTCAGAAGGGACCAGGTCATCAACATCAATCCTTTTAGCAAAAGCACTCCTTTGTTTTGATGTTTTGATCATTTTTGATCATGTACACAGAATAATCTTTGCAAATGTCAATAAAATTTTCGGAAGACATCAAAAAACAGAAATTTGAAGATTCAGTTTTGCAGAGAAATGCTTTAATGCACCAGAATTGATGTGCTTTCATTTTTGAGTATAAAGTGCTCACAAAACTGATCAATGTATGCTATGCTACAGTTACAGTTACAGTATGGATAAAAATCTAAACAAAATACCGTAAATATTCGAATAAAAGAGCCGCCTATAGGTGCGTCGTGTAGTCTAAGTTTACACTCAAACAAACGTTCATAACTCGACACCAGTACGTCTATTTCCACGCGCTTTAGTATCAAATTAAAGTAGAGAAGATGGGAGATTTTTTGAGATATAACACAGATTTTTAGCATTAACCAACTCTTAGAACAGAATGATTGAAAGGAAGCCCCTTATAGGAGCCTCGTGTACCCTAAGTTTACACTCAAACAAGCGCTCATAACGCGACACCAGTACGTTTGTTTTCCCGCGTTTAAGTATCAAATGAAAGTAGAGAAGATGGGTGATTTTTTGAGATATAACACAGATTTTTAGCATTAACCAGCGCTTGGAACAGAATGATTGAAAAATGATGAAAAATTGGTTTTTTTGCCACTGCCTTGTTACCGTCATGTTAACTCCGCCGCTTTTTCGGTCCATTTGCCTTTGGCAATCTACGAATTTTGCTCGTAACTTGACTGGGTTTCTTTGCAAAAAGGTTGAATTTCCTTTCATTTGATAGAAAATTTGATTTCGATTTGAATGAAAGCGTTTAAACGATTAAACTTTAGTAAATTTCGATTTTTCTTGTCAACAATTCATCTTAGGTTTTCATTTTTTGAATTTTAATATAAAAGTTCATGTGTAGGTGAGGGTTTGAAGTTGAAAATAGATTTATGCTCGCTGTTTTGCCCTGTTGTTTTCGTGGTTTCTCCGCCGATTTCCCCCTTCTTTTTCTCTCCTTTTCTCCCCCTTTTTTCTCTTTTTTTCTTCTATTCCATGCACTTTTATTGAAAACACCGATCTTTAGATTTGAGCCGCTTTTTCGCTTGTTTATTCACTCTTTTCTAAGTTTGTGTGTGTGTGTGTGTTGCCCAAAAATGCAAAACAAGTCCACGAATTTTTTTTCAGTTATCAATTCTGTTTGATGTTGATGTGACTTTCGAGTTTTAAAATCCCAATCATTTCAGGAGAATTTAATAAATAGATTTAATAGTTTAATAGATAGATTTAATAGATTTAATGGTTTAATAGATTTAATGGTTTAATAGATTTAATAGATTTAATAGATTTAATAGTTTAATAGTTTAATCGTTTAATAGTTTAATAGTTTAACAGATTTAATAGTTTAATAGATTTAATAATTTAATAGTTTAACAGATTTAACAGATTTAACAGATTTAATAGATTTAATAGATAATTTAATAGGTTATAGAATTTAGTAGACACAATGATACAAAGTGAAAACGAAATACAGACAATTTTTCAAGCTTGTAAAGATCCGCAGCTATTCAGCTATTCAGCTATTCAGCTATTCAGAGCATTAACAATGAGAATTGAGAAATTTGTTTACTTGCAAATGAATCAGGTATCTTTTTGCAAAAGAATCTTTTTTGCCCCCGGAATCTTTCGACGAAAACAACGTCGTGTTTACGAAAATTTCGTTTTCACGGCAAAATGCAAAGGGTTTCTTACAAATTCTTGCAAATTTTTGCAAATTGGAGTTAATGCTAGAATCTTTTTGCATTCAGTTACCGTATTTACTCTGTTAGTACTGTGCTTTCTTTTCTCTTCGCCTAGAAAAAATCCAGCAGAGATATACTAAGATAGCTCTATGGAAAATAGATTTTTCCAAATTTGCATACTTTATTTACACAGATAGACTCAAAATTTTTGATCTTAAATCTCTTAGACACCGCCGCTTGGTCACGGATTTAATAGAATGTTTCAAAATTGTAAAGGGTTGCCTGCCTATCCCTCTTTTTCGAGATTTATTCAAAGTTACTACCACGGTTAGTCCAAGGAGAGGTTCTTTCGTTAGAAATTCCTAGTTTTAGAAATTCCAGTCACCTCCAATAAGTTTGTTTATAACTCTTTTCCAATAAGAACTGCCAGAATTTGGAATCGACTCCCTTTTT